GCCAACATCAAACTAAATAGACAGAAACTCAACGCAATTCCTCTAAAATCAGGAACAAGACAAGGCTGTCCCCTCTCTCCATACCTCTTCAATATTGTACTTGAAGTTCTAGCTAGAGCAATAAGACAACAAAAGGAGATCAAAGGGATACAAATTGGAAAGGAAGAAGCCAAATTTTCACCATTTGCATATAATATGATAGTTTACATAAGTGACCCAAAAAACTCTACGAGGGAGCACCTACAGCTGATAACTACCTTCAACAAAGTGGCAGGATACAAGATCAACTCAAAAAAATCAGCCCTACTATGTACAGACAATAAAAGGGCTGAGAAATAAATCAGAGGAATATCACCCTTTACAATTGCCACAAACAACATAAAATACCTTGGGGTAATGCTAATGCAAGAACTTTATCACAAGAACTTTGAGTCTCTAAAGAAAGAAATTAAAGAAGACACCAGAAAATGGAAAGATCTCCCATGCTCTTGGATAGGTAGGATCAACATAGTAAAAATGACAATCTTGCCAAAAGCAATCTACAGATTCAATGCAATCCCCATTAAAATCCCAGCACAATTCTTCACAGACCTTGGAAGAACAATTCTCAACTTTATATGGATAAACAAAGACCCAAGATAGCCAAAACAACCCTGTTCAACAAAGCAACGTCCAGAGGCATCACAATTCCTGACTTCAATCTCTAATTATAGAGCTACAGTCCTGAAAACAGCTTGGTATTGGCACAAAAATAGACAGATAGACCAATGGAATGAAATAGAAAACTCTGATTTTAACCCACACACCTATGAACACTTGATTTTTGACAAAGAAGCTGAAATTGTACAATGGAAAAAAGAAAGCATCTTCAACAAATGGTGCTGGCATAACTGGATATTGGCATGTAGATGACTGCAGATAGATCCATGTCTATCACCATGAACAAAACTTAAGTCCAAATGGATTAAAGACCTCAACATAAATCCAGCCACACTGAACCTCTTAGAAGAGAAAGTGAGAGGTACCCTTGAACAAATTGGTACAGGAGACTGCTTCCTAAACATAACACCAGTAATACAGACACTGAAATCAAAAATTAATAAATGGGACCTCCTGAAACTAAGAAGCTTCTGTAAGGCAAAGGACACAGTCAAGAAGATAAAAAGGCAGTCTATAGAATGAGAAAAGATATTGACTAACGCCACAGCTGACAGAGGGCTGATCTCCAAATTTACAAAGAACTCAAGAAGCAAGTCTCCAAAACACCAAAGGATCCAATTAAAAAGTGAGGTACAGAACTAAATAGAGAATTTTCAGTAGAGGAGTCTAAAATGGCTGATAGACACTTAAGAAAGTGCTCAACATCCTTAGCCATCTGGGAAATGCAAATTAAAACAACTCTGAGATACCATCTTACTCCTGTCAGAATGGCTAAAATCAAAAACTCCAATGACAGTTTATGCTGGAGTGGATGTGGAGAAAGGGAATTCATACAGCCACTTTGGAAATCAGTAAGGAGATTCCTCAGGAAAATGGCAATCAGTCTACCACAAGACTCAGAAATTCCACTCTTAGACATATACCCAAAAGATGCACATTCATACAACAAAGATATCTGTTCCACTATGTTCACAGCAGCATTATTTGTAATAGTTAGAACCTGGGAGCAACCTAGATGCCCCTTAGCTGAAGAGTGGATAGAGAAAGTGTGGTACATTTACACGATGGAGTACTACTCAGCAGAAGAAAACAATGGAATCCTGAAATTTGCAGGCAAATAGATGGCACTAGAAGAAACCATCCTCCATGCTGAGTGAGGTAACCCAGTCATGAAAAGACAAACATGGTACGTACTCACTCATATATATGGATTTTAGACATAGATCAGGGGAGTACCAGCCTACAATCCCCCTGCCAGAGAGTCTGGGAAACAGGGAGCACCCTAAGAGAGATATGCATGGTACCCCAGAGAAGGAGAATGGGGCGAGATCTCCTCAGCAGATTGAGAGCATGGGGGAGGGGAGAGGGAGCTAGGCAAAAGAGAGGGGGAGAAGAAGATGGGAGAGGAGGACATGGATAAACAAGAAGGTTGAGTTGGCGGGAAGAGTAAAGGAGAGCAGGATGAGAAATACCATAATAGAAGGAGCCATTATAGGTTTGAGGAGAGATCTTGCTCTAGTGAGATTTCCAGAGGTCTACAAGGATGACACCAACTGGCAAACTAAGCAATAGTGGAGAGGCTACCTTAAAGGCCCTTCCCTGATAATGAGTTTGATGACTATCTTATATGCTGTCCTAGAGCCTTCATCCAGTGGCTGATGGAAGCAGAGGCAGACACCCACAGCTAAACACTGAACTGAACTCCTGAAACCCAGTGGCAGAGAGGAAGGAGTGATGAGCAAGGGGTCAAGACCGGGCTGGTGAAACCCACAGAGACAGCTGAAGTCACCAAGGGGGAACTCTTGGACATCAGACTGATGGCTGCGAAAGCAGCCTGACACCTGAATATGGGTGTCAGTGAGGAGGCCTAGGCAATCTATGGTGCCTTGGGTAGTGTATCAGGATTTATCCCTGGCATACAAATGGGCTTTGAATGCCCATCCCTCATTGATGGATGGTCTCTCAGCCTGGACACATTGGGGAGGGCCTAGGCCCTACCCTGGATGAAATGATAGATTCTGGAGATCCCCCATAGAGGGCCTCACCCTCCCTGGGTTGTGGAGTGGGGATTGGGTGGAGGGGAGGGTGTTGGGAGGATTGATGGGAATGCAGGAGAGGAGGGGAGGGAGAGGGAGCTGGGATTGACATGTGAAGCAAGCTTGCTTCTAATTTAAATTTTAAAAGACAAAACAAAAAAGAAAGTTTAAGGGACAAATGTCCAGGGAAAGAAAGGGGTCAAGCCAACTCTGAACAACAAAATAAAATCCTCTGCCTGTACTCTGAAAGGTGCTTAGCAAAAACAGATAGTAATGAGGCCCACATGGGTGAAGCATGCTATGACTGAGTAAACATGAATATATACTGCAGAGTTGGTAGAACCTGGGTATCCCGTTGGAAGTTCCATGGAGCAATGCATTCCCTGATGAGACTGAACACCAAAATACAGACTGCACAGAGAGTGCAGTGAACAGGACAAAAGGCACCTCTGAGAGATGAGAGCACACACGTATCATCAGGTAGCTAATCCTACTCTCTAACAAAAGGCCTGACCCTACCATCTTGAAGAAATTTTTGGAGAGAAGCAAAAACAACCACAGAAATAGATTAATTAAAAATTATGTATTCAGTGACTTACTGCCCAGGCTGGTGTGCAATCTTAAAACTCAAGCCACAAATGTCAGTACACATTGATACTGGCAGCCACTAATGTAAATAAGGGCATTTAGCCCTGTGGGGATGAGAACTGAGGACTCCCAATCCCACAGGAAGTGGGCAGGCTTTATGCAAGACCTGCTTGTTGCCCTGTGGAAACAGCTTGACTTGTGCCAAATCTTCAGATTAGTTTTTTGAAGCTAAAAAAAAAACCTCAATTTCTGTGTGTTCTCATTTAGTTCCATTCCAAATCTGACTGAAGTGTTTTAGAAAATTGTACAAAGTGGGGGCGGGGGAATCCATCCACAATCACAGAGGTTAATGACCTCTGTGTGCATGGTTCCCTGTGGACCCAGGCTGGTTAAAGCACTATAAAATTCCTTAACCACCTGGTCTCCACCCCAAGATAATACCCCCAAATTGTCTCTTTGTCTCTTCTTTCTCTGTATGGAAGACTCTCTGCCAATATTTAATTCTGTCTCTTCTAAGATTTGCCTTTCAAATCATATCTTGGCTTGGTCCACTGCAGCTTTGCATGAGTGATGTTCCACCGGTGTTTGACCTTGGCATCCACAAAATACACTCCAGTTTGTGGGCCTGGAATCCTTCTACAGCTTGTGTGAAAAGAAGTGTGTGTGTGTGTGTGTGTGTGTGTGTGTACACCCATGGTTAGTAGTAAGAATACTGAATTGAACTGGGAAAAGTGGATTTGTCCCAATGGACAAGTTGGGATATAAATAGCATGGACCACTATGCAATTTAATAAATCAAGACTATTTTCTTCATCACAGTGCTTCATAATTGCTAGCAACAACAGTTGCTTAGGCACCACCCCAGAGATTCAAAGCAATTTATCTCAATTGTGTGATTTGGGATCAGAACTTTTGAATGTTTTCCATTGATCTAAGTGCAACAGGACTGAGTAAGGGATTAATGCCAAAGGACAGGGTCTCCCCTGAGTAAGGAATTGGACACCAGAGGACATGGTTTTAAGGATTTTTCCCTGAAGTTATCAGAGCTTTGTCTCCAGCTTTATTACCCAAAAGCCCTTTTTGCCAGAGTGGGTATGATGTCTGAGATATCCCACTACTATGATAAAACACCATGACCAAGGCAACTTACAGGAATTTATTTTAGCTAATGGTTCCAGAGGATTAACAAGCAAGCTGAGAGTTCACATCTTGAGCCCCAAGCCCAAAGCAGAGAGAGTGATCTGGGGATGGAAACCTCAAAGCCTGCCCCAGGTGACACACTTCCTATAACAAGGCCATACTTCATACTGAAACAGCATCACGAACTGGGAACCAAATGCCAGACCTTTGGGGGACATTCTCATCCAAACCATCATACCACCTCATCTGAAAAGTTCGGGAAAACTAGCTATATACTTAAATGCACAATAATGATGAAAGAAATGAAAGAGAAGGTGTGAAATAGTTGAAATGATACATGTAGATCAGTGCATCGCTCAGCCCTCAAAGGAACTTCTTCTTACAGTAGATGGCCATTAGCAGAGGCCCACAACTAAACCATGCACAGAGAGTGACTTTGAAGCACTCAGTCCTAAATAGGATGTCTTTATCAAACACTTCCCCTCAAGGTCAGGGGTAGGAAGATATCCTACTCTGCCCTCACCTGTTGCACTGACCATGCCCATTTAGGCGTGGTCACAGGTGCGGATGTGATGGGGATGGGGGGGGGGGGAGGGGACAGATGACTCGCTCTGCTCTCTTCGTTCTGGTCTGGTCACAGAGAGCAGCCTGGGTGTGGGTGTGGATCCTCTGAATAGGAACTTGTGGGTCATGGGTTTCTTATGTAAGTGACTTCTCCCCAAATGAATTTAACCTATATTCAACCTAGTCCTGTGAAAAGAGAAAAATAAAATAATTGAAAGTTGGGGGCATTCAAGAGGGACACTGAGACAGATTACTGAGGAGTAAAGAATTTATTAGAAAAGTAAATAACATTATGGACAGCAGCATGGCAGGTTCTGTCAGAAGAGTTCAGGAACCCCATCGCCAGAGACAGACAGCATGGTGGGGGGGGTCTTTGAAGAGCCCATGTGACAGAAATGGTGGCTCTCTACTCTTCTGAGGATGGGGGTGGTTTCACGCAGGAAGCAGAGAAGCAGATGGAGAGCAAGATGTGTGTTCCCCAAGTCCCCTTTGATGCAAGCTCATTTCCTCAGGTGAGAGACCCAAGACCAAAGACAGTTCCATTCAAGTCTAGCCTGGGAAACAGTGAGTCTCTTAGGTATAGTTAGACACACATGGGTAGGAGATAACCGATAGGCTCATGGGAGACTCAAGTAGCAACATGATTAAAGAGTCCCATTCCCTCAAGACCGAAAGCAGGTAGGGCAGGATTACATGTAACTGGAGGCAGGAAGGGATGGAACCTCAACTGACCATCTGATGGCTGCTGACAGGCCTGCTCTTATGAGGGTCTTGTGCAGGCAATCACAGACATTCTGATTTCAAGCCAGTGGCCATGCCTGGAAGACAGGATAGAGTAAGCCATGTTCTGCTCATACATACTCCAGTCAGGCCTCTTCACAGGCTCTCCTTTCCATGTTCATAAAATGGCAGCATTGGAACTATTTTCAACCCTCTGGCATCAAAAGGTCACCAACTGGACACTTGCACAGACACAACTGAAGAACTTAGTGACTTGAACCAGGTTGTGCTTTACGGGGCAACCTGAATGTTTCTGGGGGAAAAAAAAAAACAACAACTTCAGTGATCATTACTGCAGTGATCATTACTGCAGTGGCCCTACATCAGACATGTTCTCCACAGCTGAGAGAACTTCTAAATAAGTCATGGAAGCAACTTCTAAAACAAGTCATACAAGCAAGGAATGAGCAGCCAGTGAAGCTGGAGGATACACCCAAACTCACCAAGCTAAGTCTTCCTAAAATCACACCCTGTAACTCCTTGACACTCACAGCAAACTGCAATTCGTCCCAAGGAAAACCAGTGGAGTGCTATATGCCATAGTAATATTTCATTGGCCCAAACATTTCACAGAGTATGCATCTTATTCCTCTGTGGGCACAAGGTCACCGCTGTTAGGGAATAAGATAAGTTATCTCTCCCTGCTGTCATGTGCTTGACTTTGAACATAGGATCTGAAAGAAAGTCACAAGCAAAAAGAGCACTCAGTGGAGGCAAACTCCTGCCTCAGGGACACTGGGACTGAGGAGAAGGCATGTGACGTGTCAGAGCAGACACTGAAAGCCAAGTTCTATTTTCATGACCGTTGACACAGACATCGCTCCACTAAAACTAGCTCTGAGTCAGAACTACACTTGCTGAGTGGAATGTGTCAAGGGTCAGGGGCATACAACTGTAGAGTTCAAATCTTTCCCTACAGACCACGGCACCCCTTCATTAGCACATTAAACAAATAATCGTTTGCCTGCTGAACTGAGTATTCTGAAATTTCTCTCCCACGCATTTACATTTAATCCATTTTTCTTCAAAGCTGAAATCTTCCATAGCATATGTGTATGGCGTCTATGTCTGTGTGTATGTGTCTGTACACCTGTGTGTCTGTGCGTATCTTTGCACCAGCTAGAGCAGGGAGACATTGTGATGGGGGCTAAATTTTAGTGGCTCTAAAACTTGGCAGCTCATTGTAACCGTGAGAGATACAATTTAAAATCCCAATGCCCAGGCTGTCTGGACCCATTTCAAGTTCGTCCATTGCTCAGAATGGAGCAGGGGTCAAAACTCTCCTGGGGATGAGCTGGGTTAGCCAAGGCTGTAAAACATTGTCGTCTCCTTCCCCCAATTATTTCTCTTAGCTCATTGCATATTTCTGACTCCCATATTTTAAAATTCTCCTCTGGCCAAGGTTGAGAACCAGAACTATAACCTGAGTCCCATCCATCATTGATAAAAGAGCACTTGTCCTTGGTGTTTATTTTACAATAATAAAGCAGTCAAGCTAAAAACAGATTGGCCCCTTCTGGCCTGCCTGCTGCTGGGGTTTATAGCTGCCTTCATCCTGATCCTTGTGTCACTGTGTGCTTGCTCCGTTCCCAAGAGGACACACCTCCCAGACACAGGCCACAGTCTGCTTCCCTCACTTCTCGCTCCCAGGACACTCTGTGGGCGTGGTTTCTAGAACTTTTCACTTCTAACAAGTAGCAACATTTTAGAGTGTTTGTTTTTAACTAAGTGTGCTTCCCTGCACATTACCTTCATCATATCATCCAGAGCACATGTATCCACACTTCATCGTACCATCCAGGAACACGTGTGTCCACACATAATCATACCATCCAGGAACACATGTGTCCACACTTCATCATACCATCCAGGAACATGTGTGTCCGCACTTCGACATTCCATCCAGGAACACGTGTGTCCATACTTCATCATACCATCCAGGAACACATGTGTCCGCACTTCGACATTCCATCCAGGAACACGTGTGTCCACCCTTCATCATTCCATCCAGGAACACGTGTGTTCACACTTCATCGTACCATCCAGGAACAACTCCTTTTCACATCCCTCTTTCAGTATTTCCACACCTTGCTTGACAAACTGCCTCTTCAGAATGTTCCCTCTGGATTTGGTTTCCATGGAAACCTGTCTCCAGTGGGTGGGTGGGGAAGTGTACCTGCTGGGAAAGAGTATAATGACGTCCCTATTTACCTCCTGGTGTGAAAAAGCCACCCAGGAGGCTAGAAAGACAATAAGGGAGACTCCCACCAACCCCAGGCAGAAATGTTTGTTCTGTTTGCTGTAGTTGCTGCTATTCCCCAACTCCAGATGGAAGTCCATTTTAGAATCACCTGATCATACTGACTGAAACACACACAAATTTAGCATGTTCCTGCTCCAGGCCACTTCCTCTCCCAGGGTTAAGGTGAGGAAGGGTGAGAACACTAAATGAAGTTTTGCATTAATTCCCAGAACTGGCCAGCTCTAGGGCAAGAGGCCTGAAAAAAAAAAAAAATTCATTTAGCAGAGGCTGAGCTGCACTTCCCAGGCACACCACAAGGAGTCACAGTGATTCAAGGTAAAGCTAGTCCTCATTATCTTTTTGAGAAATGGGGTCTGTTTTCAAATGCAGAGAAACCCTCAGACACACAGAAATCTTCAAAGGAAGCTTGATGGAGCTGAAAGAAGAATGGTCACTGAAGGAGAGGTGCCGAGTCCTTCCGAGGAGCGTGCCTGATTCACCCAACGTACTTCCTGTTCACCAGGGCCCACAATTTAAGATGTGGATCCTGAGGCATAAAGTTCAAGGGATCCTGGAAACCTTCAAGGCAGGAACTCAAGTGGTCAGGGTTGGTTTCTTCGTTTTTGCAACAAGGTCTCCCTGCGGAGCTCTGGGTGGCCTGGAACGCAGTCTGTCTTAGAACTCAGAGATCTGCTTGCCTCTCCCTTTCCAGTGCTAAGATTAAAGAGTGCATCAACTGTGCCTGGCAAGATCCGTTTTACAACCAAATGTGGTTGTATTTGTGGGGCCATTAAGCCCACAAAGTGATCTATCTATATACCGGAGTCTTTAAACACTATGTTTACAATAACTGGACTTGGGTAAGGCACCACCAAGCTTTCTTTACCATAAACATGCCTATCTGATGCATTTATAATGGCTCCTGGGTTAGAATCTTAGAATTGGTGTGAGAAGGTAGTTTGGCTACAGTAACCAATTTTAAGCAACCAGAAGTGACACAGAAACAATCCACCTTTCTCCTCTGATTGATTAGGGTAAGATTTTATGGCCCCTTCCAGTGACTGCCAATGTGCCTGCTACACAGTCCCTGCTATACACTAGGCACTGGATAACTCCCAAGAGTGATGAAACTATCACTCTGGACAGCAGAAGATGAACCAAGCTGAAAGTCAGCATGTGACCCCCAAGAGCACCTGTTGGCTGCAGAAGCAAAGCTTAAGAACCCAAGGTAATAGGAAGGAAAAGGTAGGGCTTAAAGGAAACCTAACTCCCCGGAGAGTGCTCTTGCTGAGTCCCGGGAGTGCGTTCACATGACCTGGAGAAATGGAAGACAACTGGATAATTACAAAATGGTGAGGTGAGTGTTATTTATGGAGGCAGGGAAAAAAGTGGTATGGGAACAGAGACCTTTCTCCTTCGTCCTCCGGGGAAAGAGACTAAGGAAGGAACAAAGGCAGAAAAGGAGCTTTGCTCTTGATAGTGATCGCCCCTGGTGATCCCATGTAACTCCAGGAGTCAGGGGAGTCACTGCGGGTGCTGAGGGGTCCACCAATGGCGACAGGTGCTGCATTGTATCATGGGACTGATAAAGAGCCTGTAGAGATCCTAGCATGACTACAAGGTTGTCCTCAAACTGCCAAACAATATATGTGTGTGTGTGTGTGTGTGTATACATATACATACATACATACATATATATGTATATATATATGCAAAACGGTTAAGACAAAGACAATTTGCTTGGTCAAACCTTCACCAGAGCTCTGAAATTTCTATGAGCTGCTTGTGCATTTCCTTGTAAAATCCACTTTAAGAACCCTACTAAGCAAGTTCAACCAGAAATCTGCCCCTCCTCCTCTGTCTCTGATCAGGTCCCTCTGCTTCCACTATCCCTCAAGTGACATCTTGTCACCTGGGATTGTCTTCAGCAAGAATCCTGTTTGGTTAGATCAGCCAGAACCCTCCCCCCTTTTCTGCCATGTGATCTGTTAGTAAGTTTCTATCTACCCTGCTACTTGGCTATTACTTTCCTCTTGTTCAGGCTGTTTTTGTGAACTTAATTCCAGTCCCTCCCCAACTGTAAGACCCATTGTTGAAGTCACTGTACCTATCACGTGGTCTTGAATAGTCTTTCATACCGTGCTGCTATAATTTGTTTATTGAATGTCCCCTAAGGCCTATGCATTAAAGGCATAGTTCTCAGCGTGACACTATGGGGAAGTGGTGGAAACTTCTAGAGATGGCATCTAAAAAGGTCATTGGAAATGCAGGCTTGAGAGGGAGAGTAGAACCTCAGCTCTCACCTAATTCTTGTTTTGCTTCCTAGCCATGAGGTGAGCAGTTTTGCTTTGTCATGCATTTCCTGTTGCCCCACTACAAGTCCAAAAAAATGGGGCCAATCAAGTGTAGACTGGACCAACATGGAAAACTGTGAACCCAAATAGTTTCTCTTCATAAGCTGCTTTTCTAGAGTATTTGTCATAATGACCAACAGCTGATGAGTACACTGTGTTTTAATTGTCCGCAGGTACTTCTTCCTTAGGAAGACTAACTCTACCAGTGTTATCAGTTTGGGGATTAATCACTTCCTCCAGGTGTTCTCTAGAGTTTAACCAAGCCATGGGACTGAGAGGATCACACAGTAAAGCCCTGAATGGAACAACTAGAAATGGGAACAGGGCAGAGGTGGACTCAGATGCCCCTACCAATCTCCTTGAATCTTGACCAGAGCACATACCAGCTGGTCTTTCACCTTGTCACACCTCCATATTGTATTGATGTGATCAGCTGTCATTGTGTTTGGATTTTGTTTGCTTTCATGTGTTTGCTTTTAGATTTTCATCTGTACTATAGAAATGTGCAGTTTAGTTTTCCAGGACAAAACTAAAGCGGTGTTATGACAAGAATTCTATATAGGGGCTCTTTTCCTCATTTTTCTTACTCTAGCCTTTAGAATTTTAGCTGTAACTGTTGAAATAGAGACCACAGGGCCCAGACATTAGCATGTCATAATAATTACGGCAGTGTTTTTAAATTCCCAAAGATGTCAAGTAGACAATGAAAGTGTTAGTTGAGAATGGCTGCTTTCTCAGCTGTGTGATTAGCATTCTATTCATAACACAACATATGCTCATAACAGATGCACAGTTCATTCTGGTGTCCATTTCTGACTTCTTAAAAAAGGAGAGAAAATGTCGTGAAGTTCAGACAACTGATCAGGAAGCTCTGTGCTACTTGCTTTAGTGAGACACAGGAGGAGGGCGCAAGATGAACAGAACCTTCAAAACCTCATGACTCAACAGTTAAGAGCAAGCACTGCTCTTGCAAAGGACCTGAGTTCAGTTCCTAGGACTGATGTGGGCAGCCCACAACTGATTGTAATTCTAGCTCAAGGGCTCCAGTGCCCTCTTCTGAATTCCATTGGCATCAACATGCACAAACACTTCCCAAGAAAATGCTTCCCTCCAGAAAAGCTTCTGCCATCCATACACGCACAAATCTCCAACAGACCTCTCTCACACCTCTCCTCTTTCCTCCTGGCTGGTGGTTAAATCTCTGACACCAGAATCGGAAACCAGCAGGGAGCAGAAAAAAGTAGCTAGCCATCGGGAAGATCAAAGTCAGGGTGTTTCAGTGAGCCAGCCCTTTTCGGAGCCCTTATCAGGAACTTATGGCACTGAATTGTTTTCAGTAAACATGTTTTCAGTAAACATTGTCTCCCAGCTGCCTGCTCCCAGGCTGATGGAGGAGTGGGTTTCCAGCCAGGGTCTGTGATCCCCACACACAATCTTCTGGACCCCTCCAAAGCGTTTGGGTCACTTCTCCAACTCTGCCCTCTGCTGCACACACAGCTTGTCTTCTAAGTTCCATTGGCTCCACTCCACTGCTGCTTCTATTCTTGGTGGTCGTCCCATCATGCTGGCATCCCCAAAACACTGGGGTCTTCTGTGGAAACTAGGCTGCACTTTCACCAATAGTCTGTCTTAGCTCTCTTCATGGTGCCAAGTCTCAACTCTTCCCAGGACCCTTTCAGACCTGGGCCTTCGACTGCCATGGAGGCTGCACCTTCACCAAAGGCCTCTCACAGTTCCAAGTCTCAGGGGCTCTCCATGACCACAAGCCTTCAAAACCAGTGCAATCTGGGTGACTCTTGTAGCATGACTGCTGGCTGCTATTAATAATACAAACCCAGAGACAAGTATTGGGGTTAAAGCTGAAGATCAGAGAAACAAAACATCCAGCCACTAGACAGTTCTCACAGCTACCCATGCTTAGACGGAAGGGGGCATTCCTGTTCTCAGACTGCATTGCTCTCCACCAAACCTCAGATTCACTGAGCTCCTGTCTTCTCCTGCCTTATATTCCTCTCTAGTGCTGGGATTAAAGGCGTGGGATTCCCAAATGCTGAGATCACCTTTGTGTGAGCTGTTTCTGTTTTAGACTGAATCAATTTTGTATAGCTCAAGGTGGCTTTGAACTAACTCTGTCTCCCAAGTGCTGGGATTCTAGGTGTGTGCCACACTACCTAGTCTCTATGGCTAACTAATGTGGCTTGCTTTGCACTCTGATCTTCAGGCAAGCTTTATTTGTTATATCATAAACAAAACATCACCACAGACTCTTAAACATTACCAAGTCCAGCTACTAGCCTGAGCTATAACCTTGGCCACCTCTGGAACAAAGCTTCTCTGTCCTCCCAGGAAACTCTTCCCAGAAGATTTCACCTCAGTGATGCTGGCCTCTTCTTAAACACCACTAATTTCTTAGTTCCAGCTCTGACTAGCATCAAGTATCCCAACAAAGCAAAGTTTAACTTTACTAGTTCTGGTATCTTGTTAATTACAGCTGATTCTTCAGCCCCAGCTAAACAGAACAACAGAATCTTAATTCAAAATAACAAACGATCCTGACAGTCTTTAAACTTCCCT